AATTGTCTATTCATTTCCGAGCTTTCTTTTTGGAAGATTACGTATAACGATGTTTAAGTTATTTAATAGGCTGGAGTTTGATTTTTCTAAAGGAGTATGATAAGCGGTTAAAAAAAAAAAAAAAAATAAAAAAAAATGGTAATGTAAAGATCAAGTCGGGGGAAAATAGTTACGCAGTAGTTACGCCAAAATGCAGGCAGAAATACGATGCCAAAAATTTGTGGGGAATGCGAATTCCAATTGTTCGGATATATATAGTATATATACGGACTTTCGGATGTCTTAAAAGTCACCGGGTGTGTCGGATAAAAAAACTTTTTTTTTTAAGTTCATTATTTTTACGCCCCTATAAAAGTGGCTATAGGAGAAATATATTAATTAAAACTAATAATCAAATGTAAATTGGGTGGACGACTTAAAAAAGTATTTCTAGGGAAATTGATCGAGAAAAAAAAAAAAAAATTTTTTTTTAATCAAATTGTCGACCTTTAAACACCAGGGGAACAGAGAATATGTGATATACTCGGAACATTCCTGTTTTTCTTGCGTTCAAGAAAATCAATAATCTGTTATGCGTTCATAATTTAAGATTCGTTTTAATAGATAGAAGAACCGGAGAAAAAAAAAAAGTACTTCAATTTTGCATAGGTACTATACATCCTTTATTTTTATTTTTTTTTTTTTCAGAATAAATACTGACCTGATTGTAAATGTTAAATGCAAAATACAAATCGTATGCAAGTTCTTTAAAATTATGTGGTTGATGATGAAAAATGATTGAAAAAAAAAAAAAATTTACGAATTATACCGAGTGATATTCCCACAAGAAAGATAAATACGTCTCATAACAGGAAATGATTTTCCAATATTAACTTAAATAATCAGAATGGATTAGAAAGAAATAAGCTACGCAATCTAAGCTGTCTATGGTATGGTGAATATGAGATCCAAATCTTATATAATTCAAAAATCCCTAAAAAAAAAAAAAAAATCGATATTTTAAAAATTTTCCTTATTTGTAAGGGGAAAAAAATTTAAGGCAACCAACCAAGCGTGAGCCATGTATTTTTGCACCGCTATCAATGCCTGATATCGAACTTCGGAATCCTCATGTGTCATTAATTCCATTATCCGTTGTTTAGCACCAATTTCCTGCAAGAATCTAAGATCAAAACCGATAGATCCAGTTAACACAACATTTCCTGGATCATTGAGAAGAATATATACGTAGAAAGGATTGTACTTTTTCCCGTTTGGATAATACTTTACGTATTGTCCTAAATCATGCGCGGCCACTGCGAGAACTGTGTTGTCATCATTAGATGTAACAAGCAGACGTGCCAGAATTCTAGAGATCGATAGACGGTGTAAACTTCGCATTTTTCATATGTATTGAGATAAAAGGGCTTTCATACCTCAGTAATTCATAATCTTTCTCGTTCAATTTGGTAACATTCTGTCTCCAAAATTGTTCAGATTCGTGAGGGGGTGTCCATTGCAGCATTCCGGATCGAATCTCTGATGCGTATTCATCAAAGGTTCTATAGTACCGAATCGATGATTTACCATCAGGCAAGGTATGAACTCATCAACAATTAAATTTGGCATAAGGTCAACTTACGTCAAACTATGAAAGTTTTCTTGAAGTTGTGCCGTCAAAAAAGCAATATCTTCCTTAATTTCTTCGTCATGCCATTGGCGGGCTGACAAGTTTATGCAAAAGTTCAGAAGTTTGGCGACCAACATTGCAGGCAAATTTGCTTCAGGTGCCTTATCCACCAAATTCTAATAAACAAAGCAAGACAGTCCGTAAAATAAGTGGATTGTGTCATCAATCTAGGTGTTTTAAGCGAAATACCTTGAAGGTTCCAATGATGACGCGAATTATCTTTTCTTTGATTGCGCTTTTGGCAATGTCGATCAACGTCGGAACCAGATCATATTTCCTGAAGACAACAATTATAAACATTAAGTTGAAAAGCGTGCGAAAATTAACACTTTATTACTTGTTAAACTGGGCCGAGACTTCTTTCTCAAATGTCAATAGCCAAAAGCAGAAAATTATTTGATATTGAAACTGAGGGCTTGGATTTTTGGTCTTTAGAATATTAACTAACCTAAAGAAATTTTAGTAAAGGAAAGATTCGTTTTAATTTCCCGCTGAAAATATCACATCATATTTAACATGTTTAGAAATTATACTTGCGCGTCTACGCCTTGTGGATAATTCCAGAATTTCAAACGATAGCTTGGCACCCTCAAAATCGAATCCAAAATCTGAACAGCGAGATCATAAATGCTAGGATTATTACTTTTAAGTTTGGTATTGATCCAGCGGAAAAACCGGGTAATGTCAAATGGTAAATCCCGATTTGCGGAGCTAAAGGAAGGTGATTGAAACAATAATTATTCAAGGATATCTATGATATGCGTGCGATAAAAATTACCATATCAATAGTGTCAAAATCTTTGCAGAAATGAATGAAACAAATTCTTCTCCATCCAATTGCCTGTGAATTCGATGAAGTAA